GCTGCGGCCCCGCGCGGCGCCGCCCGGCAAACTTAGCCGGATCCCGGCAACTGCTGGACCGGGAGGGAGGGAGGCAGGGAGGCTGCAGAGCTTGGGCGACTTCGGGGGGACTCTCATTGTTGATCGTCCGGAGGGAGTCCGGGCACCCGGAGCAGAACTTAAGGCTCTCGCTGCTGAGGCGGAGAAAGGAGGTGAGGCTGGAAAGGAAGTCCAGCGAACGGGGAAAGCCATCTTGAGGGGCGAGAGGAAGGTGAAAGGGAAAGAGAGCCCAGGCGAGTGAACTTTCTGAGCGCAGACTTTCCGGAGAGAAAGGAGGTGGAGGACTTGGACACGGTTTCGTAGTAAAGCTCTTTCACCGGGGCTGGTATTAATAGCTAACGTTAAGAACTGCTGTCGAGTACTGTGGTTTTTTAGATAACCTGTTCTCACGGAGGTGTGAGGAACTGCGCTCTGCAGGTTCGAAATCCTGATCCACCGGGTGCAGAGCCGGCCCCGACTGAGGTGGCAGCAGCCTGCTTGACCCCTCTGTCCTGTGGAGTGGAAATAATCAGAGTTAAGTCTCTGCCGGAGTCGGAGGACAACTCTGCCTTTCCGTGTGTGTCTTGGTACTTTCGGGCTTGGGGAAGGATCTGACGTCTCCTTCCCCCGCTTCTTCCTCTCCCTCCCCTGCCAGAGATCTCCTTTGTTTATTCGTGGTTGGCTTGTAGGTGACTCTAGTGCTGTGGTGAAATCTTGAGAGGTGGAAATACTGTATCTTGGTGTCCCCCTCCCCCCAATCGCGTGCCTCGAAAAGAAGATACAGTGTATATTCTTTGTATTACCCTTTTATGTTTTTGAAAGCGTCTTAAGTATCACATTGGATAATTTTTTTTCCATTTTACTCTGATTAAAAACCTCAATTTTGACGTTTGCATTTTTGCTAAGATTATGATAACTTTTACGACACTCTTTTCCATATGGGGATTTAAAGACTTTCCTTAGCTGGAATATGAAGTTCTTGGTAATAGGGATTAGAGCTTTATTAATGTAACCTTTATCCTCACTTGGTTTATTTGGCGAAGTTACCAAATAAAACAGCATGTTCTGCTCTTTGCTTGTATTATAACTTACATGGTACCACTTTTAGTATCTATATAAGTAGTGCTACACAGTAGCAATTAGCCTTGAAAAGTTTGTTGCCCAACAAATCTTTAAATTCCTTCTGTCAAAACAGCACTAGCAGTGGCAGGCTAAGTTCTAGCAAGCGATTAAGAATGTATTTAAGAGATGGTCAGTTATTGCAAGTAAAAGACTTCCTTACATACCTTCCTTGCCACCTCTAGTCGAACGGTCTAGGCACATTTCTGTGAGTTCTAAATCGGGTATATTTCTTTTCCTACATTATATATTCTTAATTACTAATATATTTTCCCCAGGTTACTCAGAGAGGAGGAGTCCCAGGAAGCCTGCGAATGTTGAAGAAAATTTATCTTTAAAATTTTGATATTCGAGGAAGTTGACATTTGTATTCATCTTTTATTAAAGTGGGAAGATTTGTGTTTTATTTTAAAACTACCTGATATTTACAATGAATGGACACAGTGATGAAGAAAGTGTTAGAAATGGCAGTGGAGAATCAAGGTAAGCAATCAGCTGGGTAATTGAAGACTGGAAATGTGTGTGTGTGTGTGTGACAGAGAGGGGGGATACTGGACAACAACTGTACAAGACTTTGATCAGTTTAAATCTATTTGAGGTTTATATTGAGTTAATTGAAGCTGAAATAGTAAAGAAATATTAATTGATTTGACTGTTAATGAACTGTCCAAATAAAATCAGCAGGGTTTCTACACTTTTTCTGGAATTTCATGTTTTACACCTGTGTTATCCAGTGTAGTAGCTGTAACTGTTAGCTACATGACGCTATAGGTTACAAAATGTCCAAAATTCTGTGAGTTACTCCAGACATTTCAAGTGTAAATGATGTATGCCATGTGTCTACTATATTGGACATCACTAATAGGAAACATTTTTTCTACTGCAGAAAACTTTAGACAATATTGATGTGAATTTAATGTTTTTTATTTGTATATTGGAGTTTTAGAGTTTGTAACTCAGACCATATTATTTCTTAGAAATAAAGTTTATAGAAATTAAATAGTAAGTCATTTTTATGTGTAAGACAACCTTTTTGTGTTCTCTCTTCTTTTTAAAGGCAGGGTCTTATAACTCATTTGGCCTCAGCAAGATTTCCCATTCTTTTACCAAATGAAGCACTGGGATTGTAGGCATATATCACACCTGGTCCAATTCCATTAACTTCTTTTGACCCTCTACGTTTTTAGTAGTCTCCACATTACTGACATAATCCATATATTTATATATTCTTACTGTAGAACTCAGCATAGTAGATGGTGGACTCTGACAGTACAGTTAATCCCAACTCTTAGTTACTCAATGTGAGCTGAGGTAAATTACTCTGTTCTGATTTTTGTTCTTATAAAATGGGACTCAGTAATATTTACTAAAAAATAAAACTTATGTGAGATGCTGTATGTCAGCTTAACATGGTTTCTGGTACACTGGACATTAAGTATTTGGGTATTATCAGTCAGCATTGTGTTTGTGTCATGTAGGACACTGAAGTGGTTGTGGTGATAAAGAAACAGTAACAACATAGAGAATAAAACAAAGTTATGGAAGAAACACTGTAGTTAAAACAAGTAAAGATTTTTAAGTTAAAAACTTGCATTGAACCAGGCAGTTGTGGCGCAAACCTTTAATCCCAGCACTTGGGAGGCAGAGACAGTCAGATCTCTGTAAATTCAAGACCAGCCTGGTCTGTAGAGTAGTGATTTCTAGGACAGTTAAGGCTACACAGAGAAACCCTGTCTTGAAAAACAAAACAGCCAAAAGAAGAAAAGAAAAGAAAAAAAAAAACCTGGGTTGAGGGTAGATGAGATGGCTGTGTAGACACCTGCTGCTAAGCTTGTTGACTTGAATTTGATCCCTGGGACCCACATAATGGAAAGAGAGAATGGTTCTCTCAAGTTGTCCTCTTTACATGCATGCCATGGCTCTCTGATGCCCATACATAAATAAGTAAACATTTAAAACAAGCAAAACAAACAAAACTAAGCAAACAAAAAGGAAAACCAAAAAACAAAAACCCAAAATCTGAATTGATAACATCTTTGCATGAAATAGTTGTTTCAGAATTTTTCCAAATATAACATGAGAAGGATTGAACAAATTCTCTAAAAGTTGTAGGGACCAGTGTGGTGGCACACACCTTTGATTCCCAACATTCAGGAGACAGAGCAGAAGACTCTGAGTTCAAGGTCATCCTGATCTTCACAGGAGTTACAGAACAGTCAGACTACATAGACCCTGCCTCAAGAAAAAAAAAGGTTGTTAAAGATACATATGGTAGAGTTTATAGAATCAGTGGAATTGAAGTTAGTTTAGAGGATTTGTGTGAGTGTGCAGCACGTGTCGGGGGAGAGATTTTTATTTTGAGATAGCTTGACTGTGTAGCCCTAGTTCACCTGATTCTTATTATGTAGACCAGGCTAGCTGTGAATTCACCGAGGTCTTTGGCTTCCCTAGTGCTGATGTTAATGTGTATGCCAGATTAGAGGGTATTAATGCCTCGATTTTGAGTCATAGCTCTGTAGATACATTGTAGTAAGTGGATAGAAGAGTTACATTGTTTGGGGTCTCATTCATTAGTAGCAAAGAAATGGTTAATAAGTAGCTATATGCGGAGTAAACATAGGAACCAGGCTGCCCACATAATAGGAAGTCAGACTCTTGAATGCTTATCTGCTTGCTTAGCCAGGGATCACCTGCTGGAACAGTCTCAATAGTTAGCCTTTTCCAGGTGTTTGCTACCATATCTAAAGCTAGGAGAAGTAATAAAGCCAATTTGATAGTACAGTGAAAACCAAACAAACACACAAGAACCTTTGAAATTATTTAGCTATTTTCTTTCCAACTGGACCAAAGGCTGCACACCTAAAATCCTGGGAAGGGAGGTGGAGACAAGAGGATTAGATGTACGCAGTTATATTTTTTCACAATTCGTACTCATTTTAAGCGATTGCAAAACTTATTTCTCTAGTTGTTCTGAGTCAGTAATTCTGCTATATAGACCTTGGCACTTCTGAGGAGCATCGCTATTGAGGTATCTGATTTTACATGTGCTTTGGGGTTTACAAGAAATAGGAGGGGTTAGCTTTTCTCTACCTTGCCTTCCTCGTGCTGTTTTGTCTTTTATTTTCTCTGCACCCTTTGTCATTAGTACTTCCTACCCTTTCTCCAAGTGCTTTCATTTGTAAGGCAGTGCAAAGAAAAGGGACTGTGCTTCGATATCTAAGGAGGTAAACTCTACAGATAGGATTTTCTTGGTAAAAAGAACCAAAAGATATCACAACTGAAAATATTAATTTAGGTTCACCTTTGAAGTTAGTACACATTGTGTATATAGTGAAGCAAATTTGTGTTGACTAAGAAATGTAAAATGTGTTTTGCTACAGAATTTCATTTTTATGTTGTGGAAGCTTCTGAAATGAGGTTGCCATTTGATATTTTGGGTTGAATTTAACTTTATACA